GGACCTTCAAGTATGCAAAGGGCTATCACCTGAAAAAGGGATTTGGACCTGATGGACTGTGACTGTTTGTCAAGGACCTTGTAGAGGATTCTTGTTCAGGTTGCGGTGGATGCCCTCTGAGGACCCTTGGGTAGTCTGTGATTCTGTGACCTCCTAACCTGGAAAGGATCATGGGTCAGGCTATATTCCATGGGAATGAGTTAAGGATTAGGTTAGAATATATAAGGACCAAGTGGTCTGAAAGTAGATAACTTCCTTTTGTCCACATCTGTTTTCTGCCCTCCCCTTGGTGTATTATTTCTGAATTGAACATTCCTTTGTCCCTTGTGAATGAACTCTAAAAAATCCACTCTTGAGTCTTAGTACATGTGGAGACAGTGAAGAGAAGGGACAGAAGGAAATGGGACCTGGAGCCAGTCATCCAATTATGGTAGTAGTGACAAAGGAAGGAACAAGATAATGGGGTAGAGGGGTGGAGAGAAGCATGTCTCTAAGTGCAGCAGTATCAGGGACAAAAAAAAATGACCAGGGGGTTCTGGGAGTCATGGTTGGGTGGGATTCACAGATCTGGGATGTTTAGTAAGGAGTACAAGGGACCAAGGAAAAGATCCAATGGAAAAGCTTCAAGGAAGGCCTGGTACCCTGTAAAGCTGATGTGGTACAGCAAGAGCATGAGGGCCGATGCAGAATCCTTCATCCAGGTGTACCAGGACTCCCCCATACCTTTCTCTCTCTCATCCCCAGGACTCTCCTTTTCTTTTCTAGATCACCTACACCAACTGCAGGTGCCTCATTTCGGGAGTTAAGGATAGTTCTGTCACGTCTGGTTCCTGTGAATCATCCTGTAGTCACCTGTTGCTTCCCTTCATCCTCTTCATCAGTCTTGGAGGGGCCATGGGCAGTATCACTCACACACCCTCCTTCATGCTCATTCTAAGGTAATGGCACACACACCTAGTTAGACTGTGGCATCCCTCAGGTTGGGGGGATGTGACACTGTGTGATGGGGAAGTCACACATGTTACAACAAAAGCAACAATGAATGCAAGGGGTGATATATAGCTTATTGAGTGGAAGCAACCCCACATTTTGAGATCGTGAGCTAAGGTAACAGAAATGTCTGTTGGAAGAGAATTTGATGAAACATATAGTATAGTGAGAAGAGGTCTGAATCTGGAGGTAAAAGATCTGAGTTCAAGTCCTAACTTTGATACTTCCTAGCCATTTGAACTTGGATAAGTCATTTAACTTCTCAAAGCCTCAGTTTCTTTATCTGTAAAGAGAGCATAATGATCCTTGCATTTGCTACCTCCCTGTTGCTTTGAGGAAAGTACTTCATAAACCCTAAAGCTTTCTAGAAATGGAAACTGACATTGTTATATTAGATAAGGAAATGGGCTATCAGTTAATGGGCACATCATTTCTTTCCTGATTACTACCCAGCAATGGGAGGCCCACAATAAGGATTCAGATCACAAATCACATGAATGAATCTATGAAGTCATTGATGAATGAATGATTTAATCAGATGGATGAATTGAAGAATCAATGAATGCATCTCTACATGAAAAAACTGATGAATGAGTTAATGAATGAACTGGTGAACAAATTAAATTCCTGGACAACTTTGGCCTCCATGGGGGCCTCGTTTTCCTCATTTATAAAATAAGGACTAGATTTCCTGTTGAGGTCCTATCCAGCTCTAGATCTATGATCCTACATCTGTAGGTTTCTCAATTCCTAAGTTTTCCATAGCGGTGGGTAGGGAGAGGGTCACCCAATGATCAGGACCGAGTAGGAGGGTCATAGAATCTCAGAATTAGAGGGCATCTACTCCAAGCCCATCCTAAAACAAGCGCCTCCTTGAAACTACCCCATGCTAGCAATCATCCAACTTGTGCTCAAGAAGTGCTCTGGTGAGGGCAAAGCCACCACCTCTCACTTCTGGATGGCTCTAATTGTAATGAAGCTTTTTTCATATATGAAGCTAAAAACTGCCTCACTACAACTTCCACCAATTACTCTTACTCTTCCCCCCACCCCCAAGACCAAGCAGAATAAGTTTCATCTCTCTTCTTTGTGATAGCCCTTCAAAAACCTAAAAGTAGTTACCATGCTCCCCCTAAGTTTTCTCTCCTGCAAGATAAACCTTCCCAGTCCCTCTGACTCATCTGATGCATTTGGTTTGTAGGGGGGTGAAGAATGAAGATAAGTCTTTGGCTGTTGGAATGCAGTTCATGTTGCAGAGAGTTTTAGGTAAAAATAAAAACTGGGGTGGGGTGGGATTGGTTATGGAGTAGGAAGGGAGAGGAGAAGAAGTGGGAAAAGAAAGTGAAGGAGGAACAATGTAGAGGGGGAGACATATACATAGTATTCTAATCAGTATTTGGGGGGCCCAAGGTGTTATAGACTCCTAGACTTCTCAGAATCCCAAGAGCTCATCTAATTGAGAAAGGTAGCAATATGTAACAATAGCCAGAGAGTCAGGATTCCCATATCCTTGTCCTGGCCCTGCCACCCACTCATTACAAGACCCTAAATATCTCATTTCTTTCCTCTTGGCCTCAGTTGCCTCATCTATAAAATAAGTTTAGTTATTACTTGTTCTAGCTACCTCACAGAGAGGTAGATATCTTAGAAATAAGAGCAAACTCAATTCAACAAATCTTTATTAAGCACCTATTCATGACAATGAGGCTACAAACCAGAAAAATAATGTGAACTCTGCCCTCAAAGAGCTCATATTTTACTCAGGGAATATACCATGGGCCCAACTATGAATGATCTACATTGGAATGTAATGAGGGGACAGAAATGATCACTTCCTACAGTGGTGGGATTGGGGGAGGAGAGATCATGGGTGGCCCCATAGAGGAAGTGGCTGACACTTCAAGGAAGAGAAGGCAGGAAGTCTGGTATCATGGGAAAAAGCCTGGATTTGGCATCACACAGCCTAGATTCAGATCTCTGCTACTTGCTTGCTGTGTGACCCTAGGCAAGTTGCAAGCAGTATGGGACAATGGAAAGGAAACTGGATTTAAAGACAAAGGTCTTGGGTTCAAATCCTAGCTCTGCCATTTGCCAGCTAGGCAACCTTGAACAAATCACTTCACTTCTCAGGGGCTCAGGTTTCTCATCTGTAAAATGAGGAGGTTGGACTCCATGACCTCAGAGATTCCAACACTGAATCCATGATGCTCCTCTGATGGTCTCATCATCTGTTAAGGAAGGGGTTAGATGAGGTGGTCTCTAAGATCCCTTCCAGCCTTAAGCGTCTATAAATATGAATGGGGGGGAAAGTATTGAGTGCTTACAAGGTGTCAGGCTCTGTGCTGAATGCTAGAGATAGAAAAAGAAAAACAAGGCAGTCCTTGGTGTCAGTGAATTCTAAGTGGGAAAAACACTATACATAGGAGAATCCAGCTGCAAGGTGGATGGAAGGGCCTGGGGGTCCTTGGTAGATCATATGGAAATGGCTGAGGGTTTGGAGAGCACAGTGGCCAGATGGTAAGGACTTTTTGCCCTTTTGGCTGGATGCTGGTGTGTCCCACCTGACTCCCATCCTCTTTCCCATGAAAGATAACCCCAAGTCCCTGGATTGGTTGCAAGTCTGAATGGGAGAACAGCCCCCAGTGCCTGCTTCACTCTGGGCTCACCTATGGAGATCAGCTTCCAGCAGGAACAAGGGAAGGGCAGCATTCACAGCCTGCTTCTTTCTAGGCCTAATGCATAGAGAACTGGGCAGGGATAGGCCCCCAGTATGTATTCCAGGTATTCTGGATACCTGCAATCATAGGTAGAAGTGGGTAGTTATGATTATTAAATACCCTCTACCTCAGACAGGGTGGCTTCTATTCCACAAAGATGCTTTCCTTAATATATTCCAGAGAAGGCATCTACACTATGTCTCTTGGTAAAATATCCAATGTCTCCCAACACTTACTGGAATAATATCTAACTGAAATTCTTCCCACTGACTTCCATTTACTGAAGGGAGTCAGAGAATACTTGCTCATCACTGCTTGTAGGCCTAGAGTGAGGCCCAGCCCTTAGAGAGCCTCCTAGTCTTAGGGGAAGACATAGGCCCTGCCCTCACAGAGCCTCTGGTCTGAGGGGGAGACACAGTCCCTGCACTCAAGGAGCCCCTGGCTCCAGGGAGGAACAAAGTCCCTGCCTTCAGGGAGCCCCCCAAATCTGAGAAGGCCTTCCCTCAATGTTGGTGGTTGTTGGCCTTCATTCTTAAAGAGGACCAAAATTACATCACTGTGCTAGAGTCAAGTTTGAATGTACCCAACTGTGGTCGATCACACCAACATGAGCTCAGAATGCTCCACCACAGCTCGGGCACAAATAGTCCATGTGAACATCTGGGGCGGCTTCTCTAAGTCTGCGCATCTTGCTTTTCTCTTGAGCTATTTCAATTCTGCTTTGCTCATAGAGCACAGCACCTTTTCTGATGTGGGCATGCCATGCTGGGCGGTCCTGTGCCAGTCTCCTATGTCACACAATCAATCCCAAAGTTCTTAAGAGAGACCTTGAGAGTGTCCTTGTATCGCTTCTTCTGACCACTTTGTGAATGCTTGCCCTGTGTGAGTTCTCTATAAAACAGTCTTTTTGGCAAGTGTATGTTTTGCATTCGAACGACGTGGCCAGCCTATTGGAGTTACAATCTCTGAAGCAGAGTTTGAATGCTCGGCAGTTTAGTTCGATAATGGACCTCAGTGTCTGGTATCTTATCCTGTAATAATACCCTAGAAATCTCACCCCTGTCCTCTCTGATCAGTGGCTTGGAATGTGTATACTCATAGCCCCCATCAGCCCTGGAGAGGAGCAGCAGGTCCCCATAGGTCTGAATCCCGCTTATATAACCCACGTTTTCTCTCACAGCCTGGATGCCCAGCCCCGTGATCCATGGTATTGCTATTGACACTGCCTGTGTCTTCTGGGCTGATACCTGTGGGACACGGTCCGTTTGTCGATACTATGACCATACCCGCCTCAGGCATCGGTGAGTCCCACAAGTTGTATATTGGTCAGGGAGGGAGGGAGAATGAAAGACTACACAGTAAGCCCTACTCGGGCTGTCCAGAAACAGGGATTTTAATCCCAAATTCGGACCCAGGGTGGATTTTATAAATAAATGCTGGGTTTTGAGAAGAAGGGGACCAAGGGACTTGAGCTATTCAAAAAGATAACTCTTGTTACCATGTGTGGAATGGATCAGAAAGAAACCACTAAAAAGCATGACATCACAGGAAGTCTAGAAATTCTCTGAAATAGTCGATGACTTAGGAGAGAAGAATTGTCTGGCAGTTGTACATGGCAGGGATTCCAATTTGGGAAACTGAGATATTTCCTGAAGGAGTAGTCACCCAGAACACGGCTCCAATGTTCTATATTCTAAGGCCCCTGCCAGCTCTCAAATTCTATGCTTTGTATTCTATGACCCTTTAACTTCCCATGCTTGGTGTTCTAAGGCCTCTTCCCATTCTAACATCATGGTGCTGGCCTGTCTCTGAATCCAAAGAGAGACTCAAATAAATTTTAATCCCACCAAGGTCAACCTGGTTGATTTCAATCTACTTAATCTCGAGCCATTCCTTGGAATCCCAGCCCTAGACCTGGATCACTTTTGAGCATTTTGATGCTAATTTATGGGAATCCAAAATCAGAACATATGATCCAAGAAATGATTATTTTCTGAATTTGTGAATGGTACAGAATATTTGAAATAATGGTTTAGTGGAAGGAACACTGGCCAAAGATTAAGAAGATCTGGGTTTCATTCTCAAATCTGTCTCTTAATAACTGTGTGGTCTTAGAGAAGTTACTTCCACTTTCTAGGCCCCAGTTTCCTCCTCTATGAAGTGACTGGTTTGAAATTGCCTAACATCCATCCAGTTTAGTAATGCTAACTTCAAGTTTAATAGTTTCGGAGAAGGGAAAGATTAGTGTAAACTGGAGTGGCCAAAGAAACCCTCTTAGAGGGAACGGAGATGGAGCTGATCTTGAAGTGCAGCTAAGATTTGGAGAGACGAAGATGAGGGTGACAGAGGGCTCCTGAGAATTTGAGGATATGGGGATGGCTAAGGAGAATATAATCCTTTCTTCCAAAGATAGGGTCACTGGACTTAATGAAAGTGCCTTTCTCAGACTCTTCCCTCATTGGGGTGCACCCCTCCCCTCAAATGGGATCATAGTCAGGAAGATGCATTGAGGGAAACTTCAGTGGAGTTTGTGACCACAGCCCAATGGTCTTTCCCATTCCTTCTTCTTCCAGGTTCATTGGGCTTCAGTTTTTCTACAAGCTAGGCACACTGGTCTGCTTCACCCTGGTGTTCATCATCCTACGACAGCAGGAGAAGGAGGCGGCTCGCTCTAGGTCCCAGCATGGCTCTGTTTCCCAGGAGGAGAAGTTGATCCTCAGCTCAGAGAAGAGATCTGGGGAATCCATAGTGTGAGAGAGCTGCCTCAGGCCCGGTCTGCCTCCCTACTCCATTCTGGAGTGGGCAAAGGACCCTACCAAAGATGGGGAGAAGGGATGATATCTGTAACAAATATAGTCTTCATTGGAGTCCTCTACAAGGGGATGGTGTTGGGGCTATGTCTAAGTGAAAGAGGAGACTGGTCACCTGGATTCTTGTCCCCAAAGAACCATTTGGGGACTGGAAGACACTGTCAGATGCTCTCTCAGTACTCTCATTTTCTTGTAGTGAGAAAGCCTCAGATAGAGAGCCTTATTCCATACAGAGCTAGAGATTACCAAAAGCCAATCTCCATTATGATCTGACCATCCTGCTTGCTTTCAAGGTTGGCTCATCTCTGCTACCCACAGACAGAGACCAATGGATTTTTTCTCCAGTGATCTCAGCTCTCCTAGAAACAAAGAGACAAGAGGACCAACCCCCAAGGTCACCATATAAATTCACACATGGGGAAATGGAGGGACAGGATTCCAAGCTCACCATGAATATGGGAGCTTCCGTGTTCCTGGACCTCATCTCAACCTGTTGCCGAGGAAATACGTGCCAAGGATGCTGAGCACTCATCTCCAGGAATGAATCAGCAATCACTAACATCAAGAGATTGACTGTCCCTTGTATACTCAGCCTCCATTCTTTATACTCTCCCTTTGATCATTCTTAGAGCCCAGGCTGAGAACAACTAGGCCCAGATTCCTTTGCCTAAGCTCCTGGCAGGTTTGCACATTTGCCTGGGGGCAGTGATATTTCATTATACCATTGCATTTATCCAGAGGTATGGTTCCCCTTGCTTTCACAAGCCATTGTTTACACAAACTATAGATAGTCACTTTTTACCTTTGGCCAGGCCTTCATCCAAGGTATTCCTCCTCTTTTCTAACAAAACAAATGCTTCTTCTTGCCAAATTCCTGCCCAAGCCCACGTCCCTCATCCAGAACTGACATAAAGCAGAGATTTCCCCCAACCTTTTGGATGAGAAAAGGTTGCCTATAATCTCTACTAAATCTTTAGAGTCACCTTGGGTAAGTCATTTTCTTATCCCGAGCCCGTTTGCTTTGTGTAAAATAATGGGAGGTAGTGGTACAGCAGATGGGTAGGATGTGTTACAGCAGAAAGAATACTGACTTTGGCATCAGAGAATCTGGGTTCAAATCTCATGGCTGATGCTTCCTGTGTTTGTGATGGTAGGCAAGCCACTTAACCTCCCTAGGTAAGTTTGCTCATCTTAAAAGGAAGAGGTTCTGCCCAGTGCCCTCTGGAGTCCCTTCTACCTCTGGGTCTATGAATCTGTCATGGTCTCTCAGATACGCTTTAGTTCTGATTCTCTACCTCTTGAGAACACTTCAAGAATGACCATGGGCTAAATGACCTCAAGGGTCCCTCCCAGCTCTAAATCTGCGATCCCTATGACGCTGAATCCAATAGATCTTCCTGACCCCTGAGAGCTTGGTTTGGTTTTCTGGCCTCAAATATCTGTCACTGCCCCAATTCCTGGTCACCTTCTCCCTTCTACCTCTGTTGCCTCATTTCCTGGTCCTTGTACCCAGAGCCATTACTAAGATAAGGCACCCTAGAATTTTCCCCCTGGATGCTGACATCCAAGGGGTTATGCTTCTCCTCCCAGGGCTGAGCTCCCACCTATAACAAGCTCTGTCCCTCTGCCTCATCTTCTACTAGCTAGCCCTTGTCTCCCCTCACAAAGGTTCATGACTGTGTGTCTCCTTTTCCAATGCCCAGTCTCCCTCCTAACCCCCACAGGAGCCAGGGTCAGACTGTCTGGGAGACTGGACACACCCTATTCTGTTGTAGTTGTACCCATGCTCAAGCTGTCACTACTGCCCTCTACTCAGGTGAAATTCTCTTAAGCATAAGAATTGCTAATTATCACCCTATGTGCACCCATTTCTATCTCTCTTTCCTCCTATCCCATCTTCTCACTCTTTAGATTGATTCCATGAGTACATTTCATGGAGTTTGTTCACAAGGGAAAAGAGAATACATAAATCCAGAAATAACAACCCATAGAGTGTTAGATATGCAGATGTCTGGAGATGCAGATCTAGTCCCAAACTAAATGGCACCTTAATTATCTAATCTAGTCCTTAACTAAAGCATCCTAGGCTGAACCTCATTCATAATTCTCTCTGGGCTATAAGCCCCACGACACCAAGTCATTGGGGCCCTGGAGAATGGTATTATCTTCTCCAGAACACTCACCAATTTTTGTAACTTGTCCACCTGGCACACCGTATTGAGCTCATTGGCTCATTCTGCCAATCCCTGGCTCACTCTTGGCCAATCAGGGAGTCTCCTATTTTCATAGAGGTTTTCATGGAGGCCAATGTTCCCCCAGAGCGTAAAGTAATAATTTAGCTAATGAACTTCTCATCCCAAAACATGGGCTATTCCCCTCCAAAGTTCACAAGAGACATTCTTTGCTTATAAGGAGTTGGACTATATTCAATTTGATTTAATTCAGCAAATGTGTTAAGCACCTGCGTGGTACAATAGAACATTGAATTCTGAGCATTAGAATAATGGGTTTCAAATTCCATTTTGGATATTTACCAACCTGTGCAACCCTGGGTAAATCCCAGTACCTTACTGAGCCTCAATTACCTCATCTGTAAAATGGGGTAATAATCCTTACACTACCTACCCCTTAGTACTGTGGGGGCGGGGAGAAGTGTTTTAGGAACCCTAACCTGCTACAGAAAAGATAGCTATGATTATCACAGTCAGGACTCTATGTTCAGTGTTATGAGGCTGGTCTGTCACAGGGAGACACAAAGATAATTCAGACATGGTTCTTGGGGAGCTTACAACTTAATAGGGGAAATTAGACAAATACGTAAACAGCCATGATTCAGACAGGATGTAATAATAGCAGAAGAGAAAACCAAACAAAAACATTAGGGGGAAATATCAGAGGGAGGATGGGAGGATAGGTCTGACCTGCATTCTATGACAAAGGTCTCCCCTATCTGGACACTGACAGTCAGTGAAGAATGGGATGGTCAGTCAGCTAGCATTGGTTAGGCACAATCAGGAGACACCCTTGTACTAAACTTTGAGGAGAAATGTCAAGAGGAAGAGGAGGAAATCATTCCCTTTTCTTAGGGACCCCTCCCTCTGAGGGTCCAGATATCCTCTGACCTGAGGAGAAGACTACTTTTCCTCAGGGAACCCCCAATGTGAGGGATGAGATACCAACTCAGCTCACAGTGAGTCCTAATTGTTAGGAAAAGACGTGGCCTTTGCTTTCAGGAAGACCCCAGTCTGAAGGACAAGAAGACATGGCCTCTGATTTTCTCAATAGGGACAGGGGTAAAGATCTTCCTCAAAACCTTTAAGGGGCGGTTAGGTGGCTCAGTGGATAGAGCACTGGCCCCAGAGTCAAGAGGACCTCAGACACATAACATTCACTAGCTGTGTGACCCTGGAGAAGTCACTTAACCCCATTGCCTGGCCAAAAAAAAATTCTTTTAAAAGTGTAAGCACTGGATATAAACAACTTGGGGCAGCTATGTGGCACAGTGGATAGAGCACCGGCCCTGGAGTCAGGAGGACCTGAGTTCAAATCCGGTCTCAGACCAAACACTTGACACTTACTAGCTGTGTGACTCTGGGTAAGTCACTTAGCCCCAATTGCCTCACAAAAAAAAAAAGAAGAAAAACCTTTGAGAATACTTACTTAACCAAGCAACATTAAAAAAAAAATGTGTGGAGGTAGGGTTGACTATTCTGTGTGTAAAAATGTATGATAATCTAAAAAAACCTACCAATTTCTACCCACTGACTCATTTCACTACCTACTGTCTTATTTCCTCATTAAGTCTCTATCTGGGTTCCCAAGTAGTCTGGGATGTGAATATCCTACATTACTAATACTGAAGCACATCTTTCTTTAATCACTTGCCTCCCACCTCAGCCTGAACTGAGGAAAATCTCCACTCCTTTTTGAATTATCTTGCTCTCCCATTTTAAACTGTGTACTTAAGAGATTTGGACATATTGTTTTAATAGCAATTTCAAATATCATGAGTGAAAAAAGCTTTTGAAGGAAAAGGCTTCCTCTTGCAGGTCATAATGACTATAGCCAAGGGAGCTGAATATCTCACACCCTCAGGGAAATAGAAAGTAAAGGGATAGAATGGAGGAAAGAACTGGAGATTTCCTTGTGGTGTTCCAAAGGAAATGGGACGGGGGTGGGGGAATGGTCTGTGGAGTAGATTCAACCCTGGTATGCTGTCCCATTATGTCTCTTCCCTACCTTCCTGTATGATCTATGAGGCTATGAAGTATCAGTTCTATTTGTTTCCTATGATTATTGTCACAGAGATAATGAGCAATCCCAATCCCACCCCCTACCCCCTATCCCTCACCCACATGCTCTGCCAGCATGCTTGGAGAAATATAAGGGACTGGCACAACTGAAAGCCCACCCTCTCTTCCATTTCAACAACATGTTTTTTCTGTATCTTGGTGTATGAGTCCTCAGCAAAAGGAAATCCCTTCCAAGTCGAAATCCCTGTCAACTTGGGGAAGTCTAAATAGACTGTGCATATCCCAGGAACAGACTCTACCTCCAGTCCCTCCAATGTCTCTCTTGTGGCCAAAGGAGAAAATGGGGGAAAGGGTTACATTCACAAATGGCCACATTGACAAAATCCTATTTTTATCTGTCCTTCATTGTCACATCTGGACCAAGTCTCCCACCCTTTTCCATGAAATGCCTTATTTGTGGCATTACAAGTTCTGTCTCATTCCAAGTCCTGTGTAGTGCCTGGTATTTGTCAGTCTTATGCAGGTGCCTAAGAGAGCAGACAGAGAGTTTCTCTAGTAAGGCTCCAGTGAGGAACTAACCAGACTATCTATTAAACCAGAGGCACTCTTGAAATATCAGCTGTCTGACTGATTCAGCAGCTTAGTGTGATTTCAGAGTTGTACGTAGGGGAAAGAAGGTGCAAATGGGGATTTAGGAGACAGTTGGGTCATGGGCACTTAGGAGACTGTGTGGTGGAGAAAGAGAGTTGGGGAAGATGAAAGAAAACAGAGTAGGGCTGAATCTGAGCTGCCTGTACAGCAATCAGTCCTGACTTTGACCTTCTTTCCATCCTGTGATGGGGAGTGACCAGTCTCTTTAAGGAGACAAAACTTACACAGGGAAACAAAAAAACAACACAGGACAGGCAGCAGCCCAGTGTAATGGAAAGTGTCTTGGTCTGGGATTCAGACCTGAGTCCTTAGCAACTAGGCCTTACCATTGATTGGTTTGTGCCTTTGGAAAAGTCATTTCCCCATTCTGAGTCTTTGTTCCTTCTGTAAAGCGTGGGGATTGGACTACAGGACCTCTAAGGGCCTTGCAAATTCTAATGTTCTTCGATTTTGAGTTGGTGACTTCTTGGCCCACTGCCTGATTTCTTTTCTGTTCAGCCACCTGATTTCCTTGAGACCATGAAGGCAGGGCTTCTTTCCTGGCTGACTGACCCCATCTGTCTGTGTAAACAAACCTATGACTGAGCCCCCAATAGAGATAATTCCTTCTTTCCTTCCTCTGAAGCCTATACATCCCTGCCATTCCCTCAGGGGCAGGACCTGGCAGGCTAGAAGGAGGCTTGAGAATGAGAGGGAGAGAGGAAAGATGGGTTGCAAAGAGAAGGGGAGGTGGGAAGAGTAGTTACAACAAAATCAGACTGGCCAGAGCTCCTGAAGACAGACACAGAGAAAAGGAAGGGACAGAGAGACAGAAAGTGAAGAACATAATGTATAAGACAGGGAAGCAAATGAAAGACAAGGACAGACAAAAATTCAATTTAATGTACTTTTAAGTTCCCACTATGTTCAAAGAAGCATTTACTTGTGGGAATTAGAATTGCCCAATCTGCAAGAAAAACCACTGAGGCAGAGCTCTCAGCCAATGCACTTTATTAAAGGGCCCGCAGCCCCCTCTAATAAAGTGGACCTCAGATCTTCCTCCTGATCCAAGCTGCCCCTGGTCCCCAGGACCTTGTGTT